GGGCAGCGAGGGTGGGCCTGGCTCCAGATCAGCTGTGAGGTTCTCCAGGAGAGAGGCACAGGCTGGGGAGTAGTCTGGGGCCCACTGGAGGTCTGCGGTCCACCTGAAGCCGGCAAGTGAGGCTGCCCCTCTGGGGTGGATGCTGAGGAAGGAGGGGACCACGCTAACGGTACTCTCTCCACAGCTTCCTGCAGGGTTGGCCGGGGAGTCCTCAGGCCCGCATCACAGCTCATCCTCTCCCTCTGCCCAGCCCTGCTCGTCCTGTTCCCTGTATGGGCATGACCCCTAATAAGCCTCTCGCACCCCAGAATCGGTCTTAGTGTCTGCTTCTGGAAGCCTGACCTGTGACAGTCCCACCAGGCTGGGGCAGTGTCATCCCTCCAGGGCATATCGAGCACAGACACTAAGGTGACCCCAGTGATTCCCACCTCCTGCTGCCCACGCTTTTGTGTAATCCCTTCCCTGTGAGTGTGGATGAAATAATAGAACATGACAAAGTGCTGGGATGTCACTCCCTTAGCTAGGCTACGGTCCCTAAGACTCCAGCTTAGCAGGAGAGAGACCCTTGTGACTGGCCTGATGAAGTAAATAGTTATGGCAGAGAAGGCCAAACGGCAGCCAACTGAGGGAGACAGTAAATGTGTGTGTTGTTTTAAGTCACTAAATTTTAGTTATGTTTTATGTGGCAATAGAAAACGAATCCAGGAGTCAACGTCTATCTCCGATGTAGCTGTCTCTCTCCTCTGGCAGTGCTTACATTCCTTGAGGGTCAAGTTCCTCGTCTGGACGAAGGACGCTGGCATAGCTAAGGTCCAAGGTCCACTCAGCATGGTGACTGGCGCATAGGAGGGAGGCACCAGGACACGTAGGTCACTTCCTTTGTGCAATGCTGACCCCATCCATCTCCAAGCGCCATGTGACTTTGGGAAACTGGGCTATGTCTGTACACTTGAGGAGTGTTATAAGACTTGTTTCCATTGCTAAGGACACTACAGTTGATGAGGAAATTTCCTCCTAACCAGGAATTGGCCAGCAGGTGACAAAAGCCAGAGCAGGTGGGGAGTGGAGCTGTCTCTTCTTGGATCTGCTCTGGGATGCTGGATCCTAGCCCAGGCCCTGACTGGCCCATCTGAGATACAGCCTCTGCTGCCTGCCTGCCAGTGCATGCGGGGAGTGGGGAGCAGGAGGACTTGAAGCTGATCCCAGCTCCCTGGCCTGGAAGGTTGAATGGATGGTTTGCAGCGATGGGGAGGCAGGAAGGACGGTGAGGTCAGTGCGGGCAGCGAGGGTGGGCCTGGCTCCAGATCAGCTGTCAGGGTCTCCAGGAGAGAGGCACAGGCTGGGGAGTAGTCTGGGGCCCACTGGAGGTCTGCGGTCCACCTGAAGCCTGCAAGTGAGGCTGCCCCTCTGGGGTGGATGCTGAGGAAGGAGGGAGGGCCTCGTTTACCAGCCTCCAAGCTGCAGGCAGGCAGACGCCGTGGGACACAGGGAGGGGCAGGGCAGTGCAGTGGTCACCAGGTCATGGCCTGGAGCCAGCCCAGGGTTGCATCCCAGCTTCCTGTCTACCAGCTGGGTCTGGGGAAGTCACTTAGTATCTTCTGAGGCTCAGCGTGCACATCTGTAAATGGGGAACCTGATAGATCATTTTCTAGGGTTGTGTTGAGGATAAAATGAGCCAGCCCAGGTAAAGCACTCAACTCGGTGTCTGGCCCATCGTGAGCCTCTGCGAAAGCTTTTCCAATAAAGGTGAGCCCTCCGAGGGCCGACACGCTCATCTCTTGTCCACTGATGTCGTGCCAGCTCCCAGTGTCACTTAGGGGGCGCTCAATGGACATTTGTGGAATTAATGAAAAGGGAGTTATAGGGCCAACTCCCCCTTGTTTGTCTCTTCCTAGAGGCTACATCCTGCAGAGGATATGGGGGTGTTTCTTAGTTAGACCAAGTGGCCCTCTCCATCTAGGCTGGTCTAGTAATTCCTTCCTTCCTTCTAGGCAGGGTGGAGGGCAGAAGGGGGTGTCCAGCCTCATGGGGCCCCTGCTGCTGTCTTTGCTGACCATTCGCCCTTGGGTGGGGTGAAATCTGACCTCACTCAACCCGGAGCTCTGACTCACGCTGGCTTCTGCGCCCACCCAGATCGACTTTCCCGACCGTCAGTTCCCATGCCCGGGCAGGGCTTGCCCCCACTGTTTACTCTTGGCAAATGGACCTTCCTGTTTCTAAGAAAACTAGCTTTAATTGGTGATTATATCATGTCTTTATACAGCGTCTTTCATCCAGGTGCCCGCAGCACCCAGCTTGTTAAGCTGAATCCTTAGAAGGTGCAGGTACTTCAAATAGTCCCCTGGTTCATTATGGCGCCTTGCAGGCTCCCCATAGCATGAGCACCCCGAGGTCACCCAGGGGAGTGTGACCTTGGAGGCTTCCTTGAGAACACACAATGTGCCTGTTTCTGAGGTGGGGCGGGGAGGTGGGGAGACTCTTCCTGTTCCCCTTTCTCCCCTGCAGACCCTCCTTAAGCCCCTCTGTCTGATACATCCCATCTTGGATATTCCTCCCTCCTGCTGGGGAAAGAAATCCCCAGTCCCCTTAGCTGTAGACAAGACACGGCACGAGTGATGGCGTAGGGGGTCTTTAACTCCCACCTCCAATCTCTGTAGGTGCTCCCCACCCCAGCCCCTTGAAATAGACAACAAATAAAAAATTAGGGCATTTGTTAAACAAATGTAACTTTAGTGCATATCTTGAAGTCCTGCCTTCCAACAGATTGCTGTTCCTAACCTCTGATAGAGAAATTTGAGCCTCCCCATCCCCCTCCCCTCCCCTCCACCCATTCTGGTGCCTTCCTGGAAACAAAGAGGGACGCCCCAGGCCCAGCTCAGGACCCTCCCACGGAGAGCTGCAGGGACTTCTCCCATACGGACAAGAGCTAAGCACATCTCACCAAAGTGAGCCCGACTTCCACCATTTCTTGCTCAGAAGCGACACAGGCCAATTTCAAATCAAAGTGACTCTGCTTCCTTCGCCAGGATGGCTTTGGCCTTGTCCCCTTTGGAACAGTAGGTCTGCTGGTGGGACCCTGGCCAGTACTGCAATAGAACCCTCTCTAGCAGTAAAGGGCTCTTTTTTTCCCTGCAGAGATGGCTTCAGCTCGAATTAGATTGATTTTTATTCTAAGTCTGGGTCTAATGAAAGGTGGGGAGGTTTCAGTTCATCCCGACACATTAAAAAAAAAAAATAGAATCTTGCATAATATCGATCATTTGCCATTTTTACTTATTATAATGTTAACACCCTTTAATGTTTAATGTCATAAATATTCAACTGCAGTATAGTATTTCATCGTGTGAATTGGACATCATTCAACTTACCCCTGCTGTAGAACGTTTAATATCCAGTTGCTGATGTTGTTTGCTATTAATAAAGAAGGCACAAGAAATACCAAACATCAAAGAAAAGATCGAGAAATTTGGTTACATTAAAATGGAGAACTACTCACCAGACAACATACTAGAGAAAGTAAAAAGACAAGCTACAAACTGGGTGCAAATACCAAAGGCTCGCTATCAAGCATAAATAAGTAATTTCTGTAAATCAAGAAGAAAAAAATCCAATAGAAAAATAGCCAGAAAGAAAAAAAAAATACAACAACAACAACAAAAAAGTCAAAAGATCAGAACAGGCATTTCATAGAAGAATTAAAAATAAGACCAATAAACGTGGGAAGACCTGCTCAACGTCACTAGGAGACAGATAGACGCAGGTGAAGACCACTGTGTCTGAGTTTCCAGGGGCTGCTCCTGCGACGTGCCATAGACTACGCGGTTTAAACAACAGAAGTGTATTGTCTCACAGTTGTGGGGGCCAGAAGTCGGAGATCAAGGTGTGGCAAGTTTGGTTCCTTCTAGAAGCTGTGAGGGAGACTGTCCCTGCTTCTCTCCTGGCTTTTGGTGGCCTCATGTCTTGCCGATGGTTTCTTTCTGTGTCTTCACATCCTCTTCCCTGTACGTGCATGTCTGTGTCCAAATTTCCCCTTTTCATAAGGACACCAATCGTACTGCATTAGGGACCTCCCAATGGACCTCGTCTTAACTTGACCACCTCTGTAAAGACCCTTCCTCCACATAAGGTCACATGCTGAGGTGCGGGGGGTTAGGACGCCCACATATCTGGGAAGGCAACTCCGGTCACCACGTACCACCAACACACCCTCCAACGTATCTGTCTGAGGGAGGACACGGTTCTACCCTTGACCTCACGAAATACCGCTTAGATTCCCTGAACTGGCTGGAGCGGACAAGCGACAGCAGGTGCCGGAGAGGACGAGATCGACGGGACCTCGCGGGCGGCCGGGGACAGTGAAACTGGTGCAGACACCTGGAAGGGCAATTTGACGCTACCTTGTGAAGCTGATGTGTGTTTCTACTTCTGGCCGTATTCCCAAGGGAAGCTCTTGCCCACGTGCACCATCACAGAGAAACGTGAAAGCACGTCCAGGCAGCTCTGCTCGTGACAGCAGAAGGCTGAAGCAGCTCGAACGGAGCTGGGCGGGAAGCCCTGCCGCGAGCCGAGCGGCCGCGGGCCGCCCGGGCTGCTCTTTCTGGGCCGCGGGCTGGGGAGCAGCGTGTCCCATGCGTGGCGCAGTGCGAAAGGGCAGGAGACAGAGGCGGCCTGTGAAAGCCTAGATGTGGAACTGGCCCATGGTCACTTCTACTCCAATGCCATTGGTGGAAGCAATCATGGGTATTCTGATCACATCAATTCACCCCATTGGCAAAGGAGGGATCCCTCGTCCTAAGTAGCATGATATGGCTGAATGCCTGACACCTGACACGGGACAGATGGAACAGGTGGCAGTTTATTAGTCACATTTACTCATATGGGGGGGGGGGAGGACGCCGCCTGCCATTCAGGGCCACAGTGCAGGACCTGGCCTAAGTGAGCCAGCCAGTGTCTGTGGAAGGAACCAGCTCGAAGACCCCATCCACAGACATCGATGCTAGAGTACCTGTGTGTTCTGGGGCCTGTGTTTGGGGCTGGGAAGGGCATCTGGAAGGGCAGGGGCTTAATTGCCCACCTGTCTGCTGGGCCCAGGATAGTCGGCCATGTGGCCTTGAAATTGGGGCAGGGGACCTTATCACAGACATCCGTGTTCTCTGCCAATGACCAGACAGGACAGGTATCTCATTATAAGCACCAGTTGTGTTCTACTTGTGTTCAGGGTGAGGGTTAACAACGGCTCACCTTGCAGGCCCAGTCTCTGACGGACCCTGCTCAGAGCCAGGGTCTGAGGCCGGGCAGCAGGACGTGCTTTGGCATTATTACAGTGTGCTCATTTGCTGCTGGCCCGGCTTGCAGGAGACAGTGTGCGGAGGTCCCGAGCAGCATAAAGCACCCAGTAGCAGCAAACTGGGCCTGTCTGGCAGCCTCCAGGCCCCGGGAGGGCCTGAGACTGGGCACTGCCTGAGCCACCACCTGCATCTGCGTCAGGGATGCCCCAAGATTGGGGGACAGCCCACCGGACTTCCCAGCTGTTTGGCTCCCAGGTATCCCTTAGGGGATGGGATAGGCAAGGTCCTGGCTGGAAGTGTGGTGGCACCTTGAACAGACCCTCCAGGCCTCAGTTTCCTCAGCTGGCCAGTGGGATGGGTCCAACTGGCTCTTGGGGGAAAGAAAGGGAACTGGGGGCTGAACCTCCACCATCAGCACAGCCCAGCACCCCCGCCCCTCCTCCAGGCAGGCCCCTCATCCTCCTCCACCCCAGCATTCTCTTCTGCTCTGAGCCCCCACAGAAACACCAACCTGGACTTGGGGAATGCGTGGACCCTAGAACCCACAGCCCCTCCCCCTCCCCCCAGTCACAGTGGG